GTGGCTTGTAGAACTTGTTGTGATTGCCAAAACAAAGAAATGAAGAAAGTTCTGAAATAGGATGTGCATCTAGTATGGTGAAGAAAAGTATAAGTAGGATTTTGAATGTCATCTAGCTAATAAATTTTTTTATACAGGTCACTTATAATTATATACTTTCCACATGGCAATCAACTTGGTTGGTCCGAAATAAAAAACTAAAATATTAGTCTTTGACAAGTAGTATTTATATTTCCTATGCAAAAGTGTTGCATGAAAAATAGACAAATATAAAAATAGAAATACAAAATAGATAAGTGGTTTTAACTGCTGAAAATTTTACCCTTAATTAGAATTTGTACTAAAGCTAAAATATTAATATACTAAATGCCTATTTAGGTTAAAGGTTTTAGCATGACAATTGTTAACTAACTTTAAACTTAAAGCTTAAATTTGTATCTTAGGAAATACTACTAGAGAAATCTCAATGGAGGCCTTTCTTTCTCAGAAGCTCATCTCGGAGATTTCTGGACGAGGCAGTCCCGTGCGTGGGCATCGCAAGAAAAAGAGGAGGCGATCCAAGAGGCCTTCATCAGATCATTGTATCTCAAGATGGTGCTGCTGCCGCTCCTACAGGAATTTGGGAGGGATGATCTGCCACGGCTACGTCCAGATGATGCAGGGCCTTCTCAATGTCAAGGGGAATTTGGGATTTCTCGTCATGGGCCAGCATCACGCCGCGTCGCTCAGCAATGTTCTCGTTCTTCCGCTGCGATGCCCCGATGCAATTCCGCCCAGGGCGATATCGAAGAAATCCTAGATCGATCGCGTTTAAATCTCCTTTCGCTCGCGTGAATCGATGGGAAAGATGCGTGTTCTTTGGATGTTTTGGTTTGGAAATTGAGAAACTATGTCTTCTCCGTCCATTCGCTGTTTTCATTGATCCCTCGATCGAGGAGGCAAATCTTTCGCTTCCAAATCCGATCATCAATCGATTAGCATGCGTTGTAGATCGATCACGCACTACAACGCTGACCCGATCTTTCCTTTCACTGTTCATATTATTAAGACATTCCTTCAGATCGATCCAATAGCCTGCCTGCATTGATGATCCAATCCAAAGATCCACACACTGTAGGGTCGGTGCTGTGACCTGGTAGCAAGATGATGACGAAATTGGAGTAGAATTGCCGTGATTTTGACGCGGTCTTGGGAAGAACACATGATTTCTTCCACTCGCTGGAATCGAGCCCGTCATGCGTGAGATTGAAACTTTGCTGACTCGGATTCCCGCGTCCAGGTGTGTGCCACGTCTTACACGTATCTTAGTAATCTAATACGATTCGAGCCCTAGACTCGCGCGAGGTGAGAAAGCCCTAGTGCCCGGGAGGAGGAGCTGCGCGCCGGGTGTGCGATCATGGTAAGCGCTAGCGTGGATTTGTTGAGCTGCATTTCTAGCATGTAGCAAGAGATTAGGACTGGTCTTGGCAGATTTCTTGCGGTTTCTTGCGTTTTGGCAGGATTTCTTGTGATTTCTTGTGTGAATGGGGAGTTTCTTAGGATGCGTGGAAGATAGGTTTTCATGACAGATATTTGGTCGTTCCACGTTATTTTTTCTGCGAAGTCGTGCCACATTCTAGTGTGATCTCTAAGAATTCTTTTTCTTTATAGGACGGAGCGAAGAAAGAACCTTATGACACTGGGGATGCTGCGCAAAGCACTGCAGATCTGACCGCCTTTGTAAGCTTGATTTTTTCCTTGTTCTTTTGTTTTTCCTTCTTTCACTCTTTCATTCTTTTTCTCTTTTACTCTTTCCTCTTTCACTTGTTTTTCAGGTGCAGAATCTTCTTCAGCAGATGGTAAGCCGATCTTCGCATTTTTTACTTGAAACCAACTACTAGTTTTCTGTGATATAGCAAGCAAGGTTCCAGACGATGTCCGATTCGATCATCACAAAAAATATCCTACTTTCGACGCTATTGTTTTCTTCATTGTTTCTCTCTCGCAGCATTGATCCTCCTTAACGACTGAATACTCGACGAGATGGGAAATCGCATTGACGACCTGGAGAAAAGTATAGGCGAGCTCGTCAAGGAGGTGGGAGCTGACACTCCCGCCTCAGGCAGCTCCAAGCCCAAGGCTCTACAGAGCGAGGCCTCGGAGCAATAGAGTTTCTGGTATTCTTTTTGTAAATGGCTACACGGCTGGCCAGTACCTACTTTGTTCTTAAGGTAAACGCATTTCGTGTGAAGTTCCTATGCCTCGTTGCGTTTGCCTTCCTTCTAACGCACACAGGCCTGCGAGTTTTTTTTACCGTCGGCCGTGTGTTCTTTGTTCCGGGTTCTGGTGCACCAAGATGGCCGACCATGGACTCGAAAAAGAATAGCAAGAAAGAAGAAAAGTGGCTTAAGATACGATTCCCCGAGCTGGTTTCGTTCTGCATACGTGACCGACCGAAACGTTTACCAGATTGATGAGGAGAATCATATTCTTTCCTGGCAAGGATTTAGACGAAGTGCCGCTGGTTCCTGCCGCTTCCAACAGAAAGTTCGTGATTTAACGGGGGACAAGGATGAAAACTCAAGCTCTCCAGTTTCTCTAGGCCAGTCTGAGAACTAGAAGTTACGGCTCCTTAGAGCAAACTCGAGGCCACTTGGTGCGACGATTTACGCAGTAATTTACGCAGTCCGAGATGAGACAGTGACACAGGCTGAGATTCTAAGGGACAGTGACGCTGCAGGATTAGCAGTCCGGGTATCTCTGCTAAAAGCTTTCCTTTTACCGGTTGGCTTAAGTTTGGCAGCACGACAATACTGTTCTTGGTGGCTGAAAGGGTGGTGTGAACATAAATGGCTGGCACAAGGAAGCGGCTACTGGGCTTTGAATGCACCAGGAACGTTGAGGAAGAGAAAAGGGATACAAATAACAAATGTGAGGGAGAGATTTAGACTGCAAGCACAAGCAAAGTGTGAGGGGGAGATGTGGGATGCACACTAGTCCAAGGCTGCTGCAAAGCAAAAACCAAAAGAGGGGAGCACTCTGAGCAGTGGCACGGAAAAATGGAAGTCGGGATTACTTGGTTGCTTAGCTCGAGAAAAGCAGGGCCGGGTTTCTTGTCATGAGCAGCTTTTTTTTTCCCCCCTCGGCCAACTTTTGAAGAGGCTCTTTTCGACTTGAAAATGGCGGCTTTCTTCTACTTCGTCGTTGTCGTCGTCGGCGTTGCTTGCTTCTTCCAGGCATCGGTGGTGGTTTCCGACGATCGATTCTGTGGCCAAGGCGGCGATCAAGTCAGTTATGTGCGTGCTCGAGGCTCGGAGTTCGTGCTTGATGATCGTCCGTTGTTTATCAACGGCTTCAACGCCTACTGGGTAACGTATTACTCGTTCGAGCTCGTCACACGGCCCCACGTTAGTAGCTTGTTTCGCGACGCATCGGCGCTGGGTCTCAACGTTGCGCGAGTCTGGGCCTTCAATGACGGTGGCTATCACGCTCTCCAGGCCACTCCTGGCGCCTACAATGAGGAAGCTTTCCAGGTACTAAAACTTGAGAGAAGAACTTTTCTTGTTTCTTCTTGTGAGTTTCTGATTGTTCTACATTCGCAGGGACTTGACTTTGTCATTGCGGAGGCACAAAGCTATGGTCTGATGCTGATACTCAGCTTGAGCAACAACTACAACTCCTATGGAGGAAAGCCGCAGTATGCGCAATGGGCTCGGGAGGCCGGTCACAGCGTGGAATCGGAGGACGATTTCTTCAAACATTCTGTCATCAAAGGCTACTACAAGGATTATGTGAAGGTGAGAATTCGGTTTCGCTCTTTCCCTCTTTTTTTAAAACTTTAGCGTGCAACGGGAATCTCGTTTCTCCTCTTGTCGTGTTCTTTTCGTGAGCATTTTTCTGACCAAAGTTCTGTTTTTTTTTTGTTTTCGTTTTTCCAGGCCGTGCTTACAAGAGTGAATACCATCACTGGAGTCGCGTACCGAGATGATCCGACGATTTTTGCCTGGGAGCTGATTAATGAACCGAGATGTAGCTCCGATCCCTCTGGTGACACCCTCCAGGTTAGCATTCATTCATTTTTCTATCAAGTTTTTCATTCGGTCGCTTCGTTTCTCCAATTCATGAACTTGTTCCTATCCAGGCTTGGATCGAGGAGATGTCGGCATTTGTAAAATCTCTCGACAGCAACCATATGCTCGAGGTTGGTCTCGAAGGCTTCTACTGCTCCTCGGATCTACAGAGAGCGGGTCTCGGCAGCTGGTCGAGTGATCTCGGCACCGATTTCATTCGCAACAATGCGATTCCAAGCATTGACTTTGCGACCGTGCACAGCTATCCCGACTTGTGGTAAGCAAATTCTTTCTGCAAAATCCATTTTTTTCGTTAAAACTAAGCGTGTTCAAGCTTCTAAAGCTTCTTTCTTCTTCTCAGGCTCCCAGACGAGGACTTCGAGGTCCAGCTCTCGTTCCTCGTCCAGTGGATACAGAACCACATCGAGGACGCGGCCGTGAGGCTGAACAAGCCCGTGCTCTTCGCGGAATTCGGCAAATCAAACCGGACTCGCGGGTTCGTGGTAGAACAGAGGGACAGGTTCTTCGCGGCCACGTACGAGACGATCTTCTCGTCGTTTCCGGCCGCTGCCGCGGGTGGACTGCTGTGGCAGCTGGTCACGGAGGAGATTGGAGACGCCATCGACGACGGCTACCAAATCGTCCCCAGCAGGAATCCCAGCACAGTGACTGTCATCTCCACGCAGTCGCAGAGAGTTTCCATCATGAACTCGAGGCGCTCGTGAGTTTTAGAAGTTCGTTCTTTTTTGGCATTGCAGGGAAGCACTGAAGTACCGCAGCTTTATAAAAGAGGAAGATAGGAGAGATTTTTAGTCAAGAGTGTCGCGTTCGTGCCACATCAGCACCACGTCAGAGCCACGTTTAGGCTGACGGGGCCCAATCTAGATGACGTGTAAAGCATTCCTTGCTAATAAAAGTAAAGGGGGTAAAGAAAGAAGCTATAATGTTTTTAGTTAGGTGCTAGGGAAGAACAAGGCAGTGGGTGCGCCATTGCGATCCTTCGCGTAGAGCGCGCATGGCGCTAGCAGCTTTCTAGGGTTCATCCAGATCGATTGCATTGCGGTCGGGAAAATGCTGGATCTGTGACCCCAGATCCGTCGTGTCGGGCGCTTGCCGGTGCGGGATCTCTTGGATTTCTGTGAGTGTTCCGCGGTTTTGCTTGCTTCTTTTGTGGGGAATTGATTGATTTCTGGCAGGCAGAGATCCGGTGGAGAAATGTCCGTTGCGGACGAGCATTGCTAGCTGTCGCCACAAGCAAGGTATCGTTTTTTTTTATAGAGAAGAAAGATCTGGAGTGAGAGATTTTTATCCAGGATCGCGACCATGCAGCGCCAATTGGTTTGCTTGTTGGTGGTGGGAATTGCCGGGTTTATCGTCGCTAGCGTGGAGAATTTACAGGATGTTGGATTTGATGATCAGCTTTCACGCCTCGGCGAGCTTGAGCAGGGCAATGGATTGCGGAAATTGCTGCAAGAGAAGCCGAAAGCCAAGACAAAGTCCGGAGGCAAAGCTGGTGATGGGCTTCCAGCAAAAGCTAAAGGAAGCGGTGCTGGGGAGAAGAAATCCAAGGCAGGAAGCGGTGATGGAAATCACGTCGAGGAAAAGAAAGTCCCCGCGGTTAATGACGCGATTCAGGGTGGAAAGTTGGAGGGGTCTGAGCTAAAACCAGCTGCGAAGAAGCCAGGGAAAACGAAAAAGAAAATTCTGGAGGACGAGGACGATGAAGATATCCGGTTTATGGAAGAGGAGAAGCTCCAGAGCGTTGTGAAACAAGGTGGCAAGAAAGAACAAGGTGCTAAAGTGGATGGTGGCGAAGATGTGAAAGAAGATGGCCAAGGCGAAGTTTTCAAAGTGGAGGACGAAGAACGGACTGACGCCAAGCCGGACAGCACAGTGTCTTCGAAGACGAAGGTGAAAAAGGGGAAGTCCAAGAAAGCTGGAGCGAAGAAGGCAAACGTAGACGTTGTTTTGGGCGACTCCGAGAATGTTGCCGGGGACGAGAAAGTAAGTGTAGCAGTTGAAGACGACGACGTCGCTGAACAGAAGAGCGTCGAGGAAGAGAAGAAGGAAACAAAGCGGAAGAAAAGCAACAAGAAGGCACCTGAGGTCGATGACACGGAGGAAACTTCCGACAGTGCGGATGCGGATCAGAAGAAAGGAGTGGAAGTCGAAGTCATTCCTGACGAATTGGACGACGTCAAGGTACTGGAGGAGGAAATCCCGAAGAAGGAAGTAAAGAAGGAAATCCCGAAGAAAACCGAGAAGAAGGATCAAGTCCTTGCTGAGAAACAGGAGGAGGAGCAGAACAGCAAGCCTCCTACGAAGATCAGCAAGAAAGAAAAGGAGATGCCAAAGACCAAGCCAAAGACCACCAAGGAAAAGCCAAAGCTAGACAAGTCCAGTCCCACGAAGGCAAAGAAGAATAGCGGCGAGTCCACGAAGAAGAGCACAGAAGTGAAGAAGAAGGAGGAAGTGACGAAGGACGAGAAGCTGGAAGTGCCAAAGACAACGACGACGACGACGACGACGGTAGTAAACTTTCCAGAGGAAGACTTGCACACCGACGCTTTCGACTTCCAGGACGAGTTGCCGGACGAGGAGGACATCGACTTGCTCTCGCAAATCTCCGACCTCCCGACGAAGATCCAGCAGACTGCAGGCAACGTCGCGGACACTCTCCGCCCCAGCTTGTCCAAGCTCTCCGAGACGTCCAAGACGTACTTCTCCCAGGCCAACCAGCAGATGACCGAGAGCTTCACTCCGATCATGGGCCACCAAGCGGCACCGGTGGTGGCCTCCCTCATCTCCTACGCGTTCTTACTCGCTCCTCTCATCGTGGTGATCTACATGCTCGAGCGCATCCGTGCCACTCTCTCGCTCGCCAAAGTTCTCTTCTTCGTCAACCTCTACCTGGGAGCCTACTTCCTCACGCTGGTGCTCGCGACTTTCGCCCTCCAGAGCGAGCCCATGGCCTTCTTCTTCCGGCACTCGCGCTCTAGCTGCGTCTTCCTCCAGCTCCTCCAGGCGCTCGGCTACATGCTCTACCTCTTGCTCTACACCGTGGCGATCATGAAGTCCTTCTCCTACGGCGGGGTCTTGGAGAGGATGACCACGGTGTTCCAGTGGGTGATCGTGGCGCTGTTCGGCCTCCATTACTACGTGACCGTGTTCCATCGAGCCATGGCCATGAAGGTCCCTCGGACGACTTGGAAGGTCTATCTGGTATACACGGCAGCGTTTTCGGTGCTGGCTCTCTTTGCCAGAGCCAAGATCGAGCCGATCAAGAAGGAGTACTACTACACGCCGGTAGACGATTCCGAGGAGGCTAGTCCCATTGACAAGAGGAGCTAAGCAAGCGAAAGAGGTAAAAAACCATCTTTTCTCAAGACAATGGGTGGACTAAACTTTGTTATCTCTTTGTCTTTGCAGTTTTAGATGAATAAGAAGAGATAAGAGATGCGTAACGTAATGTTAATACACGAGAATTTGAAGTGAAGCTCCCCCACTCCATCAGTGATAAGTTTTGCGTGTTTGCATTTTCTAGCTGCCAGGTTATTTATCTATCAGATGGAACTTAACTTTGCTTTGACTCTAGCAGAGATCGTGCTTTGCGGATCAATCTAAATGGCTTTCCGGGATTTGCAGTGAGAGCTCTCTCGCAAGCGTGTCTGTCCAGCTCCTTGGGAAAGGCGAGAGAGACTTAACGAGAGAAGCAAAGCTGGCCAAACCGAAAGGGACTGCTTAAAGTCTCACTGGCCGGTGGACGAGGAGCCACAAGTTGCTGCAAACTAGAGGACGGACACTAATAGCAAACTTCCAAACAAGCCATTCAATCGCAAAACAAAGACGTGAAAACGAAACGAAACAAAGAAGAAAACACTCTCAAAGTTTAGACAAAGAGAACAACGTTATCATACAAATCCTTGACTACTGTCAATCCATCCAAACTTCCAAAAGCCTGCTATGCATGCCTCGAGGAGTGATTGCTCTGAAAGACGAATCCCCGGATGGATGAATCGATCACTCTCTCCTCCCGCCAAGGTGGTGATGGTGGTGGTGGAGGTGGTGATGGAAATGCTCGTGCCTGTGATGGTAGAGCTCATCTCCATCGCCCTCCTCGTCCCGGAACTTGAGAAGATGACCATCGGCATCGTCCACTCGACCCTCCACCACCGGAGACGGATTAAACGTGAGGAGCTGCGAGAACTTGGAGCTAATCGCGTTGTTGTTGTCGCTCTTGTCACTGCTGATGCTGCTGTTGCTGACGAGATTGCTGCTAGTGCTGCTCAGGCTGCTGCTGGCCGACTTGGATTTCTTGAAAGTCCGCTTGGTGGCGACGTCGTCCTCGGAGAGGCAGAGCACCGGAGCCGGGATGAATCGGCTCAGCCTCGCCGCCAGAGCTTCCCTGTACTTCCTTCCTCCGCCACCGCCGCCACCGCCGCTCTTGCAATTCTGCGAGGAGCAGCTGAGCGAGACGAGGTTCCTGTTGGTGGTGATGGACGCGGCGGAGGCCTCCTTGAGCGCCTTGTCCAGCTCCTTGGCCACCGAGAGGAGCTCGAACGAGTCGAAGAGCGACTGGTTTGGATCCCACTTCTGGTGCGCCTTGACGATGGTGTCCCCCGCCGTGTAGCTGCCATTCACTCGCAGAGCCTCGGCTTTGAAGCGGGACGTTCGCTGCACCACCACCATGGCTCTGTTCCTCACGTCCTCTGGACTGCCATTGCTGTAGTTGCCTCCGCCGCGCTGGTACCATGCCCAGGCAGCTGCCTTGCTTCGCGGACTGATCTTCTCGTCGTCGATGTTGGTGTTATTGCCGCTGCTGCTGTTGCTGCTGTTTGAATTCTCGTCCTGTGATGCCTGCTTGAAAATGTGATCCGTTTCTTGCCTGGCTTTCGCTAGCGCGGCTCCAAAGTCCGTCACGGGCTTCTTCTTCGCGGAGGACTTCTTCTTCCTCAATCCCATCGCGAGATGGATTCAATTCCCACCTGTCAAGGCTTGCAATGAGATCTCTCAGTACACAGCGAAACTTCTTACCGTGGAGAGAGGAGAGAGGCGGAGATTTTCTAGCGTATAATATGTGGAGCAACTATCTCCGTAGCGGATGTGGCTGCTGATTAATCCAGAAAAGGAAAAACGGAAGAGTCACGGAAATTGGAAATGAAAGACCCACCAAACCATGGACGCAGTCGGGTACCAGACATGGTCGCTTTGATTTTACGAGCGCGGCCCACTTTATTTGCATGGCTCCGTCCGAATCCGACAAAATTCTCGCGTTCCTTTGATAGGCTAAGTTGCTCCAAACAACAAGTTCCGCGGCTCGCAACAAGATGACAAGCAGTTGCGTCCACGGAAGCCTGCGAGAGAGAGAGAGAGAGAGAGCATGCGTGAAATCAGAGAAAAGCTGGCTTTTGCAGCGCTCGTAAATAGAGAAAAATCTTTGAATCCTTCAGCCTCACATTTTTACCTGTCTGAATCGCCTCGCATCGCCTGGTCCGCGTGCCAGAGTGTTGTAAACATCATCACCAGACAAATTTAAAAAACTCTGCAAATTTAATGCTCGGGCCGCTGCGTAGCAAGAAAAAGTTAAGGCACTGATGAATGAGGATGATAACCAAATTAAGTATGGTATGACAGTACTCGAACTTACAGCAGTAGTACCATGCGGAGCGCGCAAGATATTTTTCGTACGTCGTTCGTTGGTTTCGATCGAGCGATCTCCAGCATTTGGAATCTGCAGCAGCATCACTGCTCTCCATTTAGTAAAAAGAAAAGAACAAAAGTAAAATTCTAAGGCTTCTATGAGAACACATCACCTGTGTTTCACTTCACGAGCTTCCGTCGAAGTCCAGGAAGATTCGAGTTTGGTGAAGCGATACTGAAGAAGGGCCAAAGTCTAGTCTCCTCTCCTGCAGCCACAACAACTTATGATTGGTTATAAAATACAAAGTCAGTATCTCACCACGTCTGCTCACCACGAGAAGACGATGATCATCAGCTAAGGACAGCGTGCCTCGTTAGCTTGAGCGCTCCAGCAAAGATTGGCCATCAGATTGTAAGCCGCGTCGATTTTCTCGTTGTTTCCAAGCTGAAGCACAGCATCAAACGCGACCCTCCCTATGGCCAAGTTCCTCCACTTCCAGCACGAAGTGAGAAGGGTCATCCAGATCACGGCGTCCACTCTGGTCGGAATGGACTTCACCACCTCCAGTGCAGCGGTTAGCTTGTTGGCCCGTCCGAGCATGTCAACCACGCAAGTGTAATGCTCTACGTCTGGAGGAATACCGAATGTGTGTTCCATCGACTGGAAAAACTCTCGGCCCCTTTCAACCAGACCAGCGTGACTACAGCCCGTGAGCACGCAGTTCAAGGTGATGCCATCGGCTTTGAAGCTTTCGTCCTGCATTATCTGAAAGACCTTGAAGACCTGTTTAGCATCGCCTTGCCGACCAAAACCAACCAAAAGCGCGTTCCAAGCTCCCACCTGTAAGTCCTCAGTCGGTATAAGATCGAAGGCCTGCTGAGCTTCAATCATGCTCCCACATTTTCCGTAGACGTCCACCAGAGAGTTTAGGAGAATTCCCCCGTTCCTGTCCAGTCCGTGTAGCCTGACGATATCGCCGTGAACTGCTTTAGCTGCTTTCGCGTCTGCGAGAGCGGCACATGCTTTGAGTGCCGTGACGAATGTTGACGCATCTGGTTGGCAGCCCGTATGCCCCATCACCGACGAATAAAAATGCAGAGCTAGCTCAGCTTCACCGTTGTCAACATACCCCAGCATCAAAACGTTCCATAAAACTGTGTCGGGCTTGCGAATCTTGTCGAAAACGCTGCGAGCATCGGCCAGACTGCCACAAGTCGCGTACATGTTCACAAGGCTGCTGGCTACGAAACTGTCGACGTCACAAAGGCTTGCCGATGCTTCGGCGTGTATCTGAAAGCCCCTGTTTAGAGCCTCGGACTTGACAAGCTTTCTGCGACCCTCAACTTTCTGGCCCGTTTCTTTTGTTGCCAGTCCTGTACAGGCCTTAACAGCAGCAACAATAGTGCGAGCATTCGGCTGGCCACCATGATCTTTCATCTGCTCAAATAACTCCAGGCCCAGCTGTTCTTCCCCAGCCTCTACGTATCCGAGTATCAACGCAGTCCATGAAACAACACCACGATATAGCATTCTGTCGAACACACCACGAGCATCCCACATGCTTCCACATTTTGCGTAAGCATCTACCAGAGTATTCTGGACGTAGATATCTGTGTCATACCCCCTGTTCCTCGCGCGAGAGTGTATAGCCATCACTTTTTCTAAACTTGAATTCTTCACAACCTGTCCCCCAACCGAGCTTCCTGTTTCCTTTCCTGTTAGACCAGCACACGCCTTGAGAGCAGCTACGTAAGTTCTCGAGTCCGGAGTAAAGCCTTCGGTTTCCATCCGTGAGAAGAGCTCTAAAGCCAGATGGCCTTCACCGTTTTCCGCATAGCCAAGTAGCAGCGCGTTCCATGACACTGCTGTTTTACTCTGCATCCTGTCAAAGACCCTGCTTGCATCCACAAGGCTGCCACACTTCGCGTACATGTCAATCAAAGTGCTTCCCAGCAAAAGATCCGAGTCCATACCTGCTTTTGTAGCTTGCCAGTGAAGAGCTCTTCCTTTCTCCAAGTTCTTGAGCTTGAGAAACTTCCCTTCGTCGTTGGCTGCCACACTGCTACAGGCCTTCAACGCAGCAGTGTAAGTGAGAGCATTTGGAGCACAGCCTCTCTGCTGCATTTCGGAGAACACCAGCAAAGCCAGGCTCCCTTCACCGCTTTGTACGTAGCCGAGGATCAACGAGTTCCACGAAACAACGCTGTGGCAAGGCATCAAGTCGAACACCCTGTGAGCATCCTCCAGGCTCCCACACTTCGCATACATGTCAACCAAAGAAGTCGAGATAAACACGTCTCCACAGCGCAAAACTCTAGAATGCACAGACATACCTCTCTTGAGCGATGTGGTCTTCTTCACCACCGAAGAAAAACTCTCGCCATCTTCCTTCTCGGCCAAGCAAGAACACGCCTTGATCGCGGCAACTAGAGTCCAGGCATCCGGCTCACAGTCCATGCACGACGAGAAGATCTCCAAGCCCAGCTCTGGATCACCATTCTCGACGTAGCCCATCAAGAGGACGTTCCAAGAGACCACCGTGCGAGCTCCCATGGCGTCGAAAACACTCCTGGCATCCACCATGCTCCAGCACTTCGCGTACATATCCACCAGTGTGTTCTCCACGTAGATACCAGCCAAGAATCCTCTTCTCAGTGCCTCGGCGTGGAGAGCCTTCCCCTTTCTAAGATCCCTGGCGCTACTGCAAGCCCGGAGCTCGCAAATAAATCTCGACCTGGATCTATTGCCACTGGAAATCCTCGCAATCGATGCTTCTTCTTCACTGTTGCTCCAAATCTTTGCGATTTCTTTATTCACAGATGCTTCTTCTTCCCGATTCTTCAATGGAGCCGCGATCGCGATCGATTCTTGGCTAGTTCCCGATCCTTTTGCCGCGATGGAGGAGCTGAGCGATCGAAATCCAGCGCTGGAGTGTCGCTTGGACCTACATTTGCTCCAGGGAACCATAAACCCTGGAGAATCCTTCTTGATTCCTGGATCCTTTCCTTCACTGCTTACCGATCTTTCTGCCTCGATCTATGCGCGACAGCGGCCCAAGAGTGAGGAAATATTTTAGGGTTTATGCGAAGAGATGGCCGCATTGTCTAGCCCAGCGGCTTTTCGCGGGAGGCGGCTGGAATCCTCGTCCACAGCGCAGGCGCACAGCTCCAAGAAGGATCAGGTACGCGTTCCTCGCAAGCGCGGCTGCTCGAATGGAATCGCCGCAAAGAAAGACGCCAGCGAGAGATTTCCATCGCGATCGGGCAAGCGCCCCAAGTGGGAGCTGTTTGGAGGCGCTGCAGCTGTTCTTGGCGGTAGCAGCATTGCGGCTTTCGGATTATCCAAGCTGGGATTCGGCTCTGGTTCCTCGGATTTTGGAAATCCCGAGATAGGAAGTGGAGGAAGTGGAGGAGCAAGGAATAGCGGTCGTGGCGGTGGTCGTGGCGGTGGCGGCGGTGGCAGTAGAGGGAACGAAGCCACTCTTCACAGGCCTGTGCTTGGCGAAAACAAAGAAGAAGATAGCAAAGAAGAACGAGGAAAGGGTCTCGTGGAAGAGGTTGCGTCTTCGGTAATCGAGCAATTGTCTCGCAGCGACAATCTTGCGAAAGCTTCCGAGGTATGATCTTTCTTCTTTTTGTTCCTGGAACTCATCTTTTTTCTTTCTTTCCAGACTGGAGCACTCAAGAGACTCCAAAAGGAAGCATTCACGGATATTATGAAGCTGCGTGAAAAGTTTGAGAAGCTCGAGCTCGGCCTGTCTACGAAGGATTTTTCGAGTGGTCTTGAAAGAACAACGATCAAAGGCAGGGTGGCTGCAGGAGGAGCTTTCGTGCTCATGCAGGATTCAAGTAGCTACAACTCACGCTCGGCATTGGAGCAGTCTGGGCTCCCAGCCGGGCTCGAGGCAGAGTTTACTTTCCAGACGGCTTTTCGGGACGACAATGATCTACTGACGACGAAATGTGTGTCCGGGGATGGTGGCTTCGGTACTAGTGGCCTTGGAGGACCAATTCGACTTGCGAAGATTTCTTACGCAACAAAAGTTACGGACGAGACGAAGTTTTCTTTGGTTCCTCTGGGTGCTCAAGCTACGGACATGACAGAAGTTGTGAATCCTCTCCAGGTAAAGCACAGATTTTCTTTGAGGCTAACATTTTATGGTTTTTGGTGTTCAAGGGCGAGGCACTGACAAAGTTTACGAGCTCTGGTCCTTCTCTCTTCAGCCACTGCAAAGGCTCCGCAATCGGTGCAACTTACAGGAGCTCAAACACGCTCGCCTCTCTGTCAGAGTACATCTCCGGCTGGGGCGATTCGAACGGACTTCTCTGCCTGAGTACGCTCGCGCAGTTTATCCATCAGCCGACCGAGCAGCTAGCGCTCTCTCTCTCCGCGCTCAACCGCTTCTGGCCGAGTCCACCACTGCCGTCGGCAACTGGTTTACACTGGAGCGAGATGAAGCCTTTCGTCCTCTCAAAGTCCCTGCGCTCATCGGGTGTAGATACAATGAGAACGTCAGGCTCAAGCTCCGTTTCTCAAGCGCTCAGCAACGGAGATAGGTGGAGTTTAGAGGCTCCGGCATACGAACCGAAAGGCACTGCGATGCAAGCGTTTGCCATGTCGGGAGAGATGGACCTTGGCGGAGGTGCTTGTCTCGGAGGCTGGCTACAGATGGAAAGAGGCGACTGGTTACAGGATGACGATCAGAAAAAGCTGGTGTGGTCTCTAAGTCTGGCACAGGAGGCGTCAGTGGACAGTGTGGGCTGGGGAGTCAGTCTCGGACGATCGAGACGAGATTTCTGGAGCTCCCTCAAGGACGAGGAGTCGGATGTCATAGGAAGGCAGGCCGAGGTGTCGTCTACGCAGTTCCAAGTGGAAGCGTTTCTGAAGTATGACTTTGGACAACGATTTACGCTCCAGCCCGGGTTGTTGTATGTCCTCAACAAACAATGCCAGACACCGGCTTTGATGGTCAAGGGTGAGTGGAAGCTGTGACGAAGAACAAGGTTATTTTCTTTATTTCTTTCTTTCTTTCTTTCGTTTTTTTCCTTTTGAACGTCCCGATCAACGCCACCGTCGGAAAGACGAACAAGAGTTTACTTTTGCAAGCTCCACGAGGTACGTAGGAGCTTGAAGTTTTGTTTCTTTGGCATTTGACCTTTATATCTCTGGTGTCTCTGCAGTAAGTAAACAAGAGATCTCTTCCTATAGCTTGTGCGTACTGAACTCTAGCGCCGCCTGAGGAGAAGTTTTTGAGACATGAATCGCAAGGTTTTGTCACTTTTTTTTTTTTTTTTGCTTCTAAATTCTGAGATTTCTAGATTCAGTCTTGGAATGACGCTGTGTGGCCAAGCTCAGGTGCGAAGAAAGAAAAGAATTACTTATTTCGAGTTTGTCAATCGCCAACTTCTTTCTTTTTTTTTTTTTCTTTCAGGCGCGTTTTTTGCTTCAAATTTTTGGAAAGACTCTCTTTTATAGAATAAAAAGAGCCAACTTTTGGAGATGGACTCTGGTTTTTAGGGCTCCTCGCGATGGCTGCTCCTGGGTCGTTGCTGCTTTCCCGTCTCATGGGAAGGGAAAGCAACGACCAAACTGATGAAACAGATGCCCGCATTTTCATCTCTGGAACTTCTCTCAAGGTGTCTAATCCTCCTCTCAGCTCCGATGGTAAGATTTTCTACTCTTTTTGTTTCCTTTCCCGATTAACCCTGCATTGTTTTTATTTTGTTTGCAGGTTGTAGCGAGCTGTTGCAAGCAGTGGAAAAGAGCCAAACTGTGATCACGGAGATCGATCTTTCCGGTATTTGTTCGTGTGATAGAAACTCTATCTTCTACTCTTATTTTCCTCTTCTTTTACAAGGATGCAATATCAGCAAAGCAGATGAGCTAGCAGAACTTATCAGAAGCTGTGAACACCTCCAAAGGTTTGCATCTATGATTTAGATTCTATCTTTCTTTCAAATTTAATGTACGTATGTAGACTCCTGCTGGAAGGTAACAGCATCGGATTAGCTCGCACCGGGATATTATCTCTAACATCGGCTATTGCTCTCAGCTCCACTCTCACGGAGGTAATTCTTCTGCTTGTCGTTCCCCCTTATTATTTCTGCTTCTGTTTTCTTCATAAGCTGGATCTGCGAAACAACAGAATAGGGCCGTCTTTCGCTGCTGCTTTGGCAAATGCTCTTCGTGGGACTCGTTCCCTCTGCTTCATAGGTACCTAAGGTTTTTCTCCTTTGTGGATTTTTCCGCGCCGAGACTATATTACTTGCAGACCTTAGATGGAATTCTTTAGGTCCCAGTGGTGCTGCAGCTTTTATCAACTTGCTTCAAAAGAATCCGATTCTAGCTGGGATCCAACTTGCTGGCAACGGAATCCCTCAGAAACTTTTGTCAGAGATTGGTAAGTTCCTCAAAGAGACTGTTCGAGATTTGTTTTATTTGGTTGTTTTAGATAAACTTGTTGAGGATAATCGTGCCAACTGTGTGACACCTCAAGTTCGAGCTCACGTACCACACCCGCTTGAGGTTAGCAATACCATTCATTTCACATTAAGCTTAAGCTATAATTGTTTAGGAGGAATTCAAGTGGGAGAACCGAGAAGGCATGAAAGCAATTTATTCGGGACGAATTGCTGCAATGGTGGAAGAGATAAACAACCTGAAATCTCATGTGGTGCGTGTTTTTATGTTCTCTAATTTTATGGAAATCGGCGGTCAAACTACACAGGACTTGTTGAAAAAAGAAAAGGAAGATACAAAGCTGGAAGTGTTGGAAGCTGAAAACCACGTCAAGGTTCTTCACAGACTTTCTAGCTCAACTTGATATGCTAACAGATTCATTCCAGGCTCTTAAGCTTGAGCTTACAGAGGAAGCACTCTTGAGAAAGTACGCCGACAAGGAAGCGAATCAAGTGAAGGAAGAGTTATACGCTACACAACAAGTACGGGATCATAACCTCTTCTCCTTTGTTTGTTACTTATTTGTAGTAATTCAGAAACTCGCTCGTGCTGAGGAAAAGCTAGCTGAAGATGCTCGAGTTGCCAGTAGCACTGCAGAAGCGCACAATGTGAGTAGGATGATTTCTTCCTCGTTTTTTTATTTATTTCTTTTGCTTCTTTTTCTTGTTATTGGTTAATCTGTTTACAGGCTGCTCTTGCAGAAGCTGGAAAAAGGGTGAAGGCTGCAGAAGAAAGATATGACGCAGTAGTATCAGAAAATATTTCTTTGAAAGATCAGGTTCATTTGTCCTATTCTGAAGTGAGTTTTGAAGCATTTTGAACTTTTCGCAGATTGCATGCAACAAAAACGAGCACTTGATGCAGCTCCGGTCAGTTCAGGGTAAGCAATTGGTGGTGGGCAACTCTAACACTCTTGGACTTCTACAGAAAATGCTGCTACCGAACAGCACAACGCCATGTCTAATGTCAAGAGGCTCGACTTTGAGCACAGAGCGAGCATCGAAGCACACGCAAAAGAGGTGTTTCTTTAAGCTATAAATTTATGGGAACCAAAACATTTCTATGGAAGGTTATGAGGATGCAAGCGGAATTTGAGGCAGAGATTAAACGCGTCAATGGAGAGAAGGAAGCTGCGCTACGAGTGGGTGTTCGAAATTTTTATAAAGTTCCAACTTTTGCTGCTGTTCTTATTAACAGGAAGTTGAGGCGTTGAAATCGATGACCTCGGCCCTTGAAATGCAATTTGCAGCAAAGGAGAAGGCCCTCCAACTGGAAAAGGTACCAAATTTTCCTCGCTTTCTTTTCTTGACATAATACCTCTCGCTTCAGGAGCAAACAGAGCAAGTTTTGCAGGCCCGGGTGGCAAACGTAAAATCTGAAATGGAATCGCTGCAGGTAGCGTAAAATTTTTATCCAAGATGGCTTGTTTAGTTCTAGCGCTGCAGGCTGAACTTGACAATATGCGAAGAGAAGTTTCAAAGGCCAGAAAGGTGGCTTTAGTTTCCTACGTGGTTATTATTTTTCATATGTATGGGTTTTTGTCCAGAAACATACCTCTGAAATCGAAGAGTACGAGACAAAGATCGCTCAAAGCAGAACTTTGCAGCATCGCATGGAGCTGGCCAAGTCCGACTTGGAAGAGAGAATTTTCGCACTCACCAGTGACAAGGCATGGACGAAGTATTTTCTCATGGTCACAAAATTTTATTTTTTCTCTTTCTCTTTCCAGGTCCAGCTAGAGGAAAAAAGTAAGCTAGCAGAGGACAGAGAAAGGCTTTTGGAGAAGAAAATGGAGCTTGAAAAGCTCAAGTATGCAGAGCAGACTTCCGGAGAGATTTCTAGAGTAAGTCAGGGAAACATCTTGTGAAAGTTTGATGATCAAATCCACTTTTCAGCATATAGAAGAGAAACGACGCATCGACGGAGAGCTACAGAGTGCAAGGATCCAACTCCACAACATGCGGAATTCTCTTGAAGAGGTTTAAAGCTCTTGTTTCCAAAATGATCTAACATCGTTTCACGTTTTTTTCTGTTCAGCTGCAAGCCGAGCAGGAACGAAGGAAAGTAGAGGTGGAAAAACGCGTCCTGGGTGTGGAAACGCAATTTATCGATTGCATCCGTCAACAGTTTGCTGGCCTGAGAAACTCCCAGTCACATAGGTATGTGTTAAGCAGCAATGGTTTCAGTTAGTTTCTATTGTCCCAGGATCGAAGCTTATGGTAACTTATGATCTTGGCAAACCTCCACGGCTCTGCCCAACGCTTGCAGCGATCATAACTCTCCTCGAGCATGGGATTGACGGCGTAGCACTCCTCGGTGGTCGTCCCAGCTTATGTACTCTTGTGGCTCTATATGGCACGCTAATGCTATCCGGGTGTAGTCCGCGGAAGGGACTGATGATTCCATTTTAGTTTAGAGGACATTTATAGAAAATTCCATACAGTTCTAAGGTTTTCAACTTAGCATACCATTGGTATCAAACAATGTAAAATATTATATTTGAACCTTTAAGTGATTTTAATGCTTTTTTCTTCCAATATCCATTACTAGGTTTCCTAGATTAAAATCCATTTCTTCTCTAAACAATTCTTCTCCAGATAAATTTGCTTGTCTGTATGGTGTATGGGATGTTCTTCATAGCTTACTTAATCTGCTCAAATTTTGATGAAGCCAAGGTGCCTGAGAAACTTACATGGTAAGAGGGTTGACAATGTTGCGGCTCGATTTCTCATGGTGATACTCTCTCCTGTCTTTCATTTGTCTGCTGCTAAGAGCTAATTCAATCATATCTGCAAACAGTGCTATTTGGAGTTGATCCACCTATCCGAGTCAATATCTCCCACCCCAGTTATACTTCCTTCCCATATATCTAGAGCAAACTATTGTTGATCAATGTGTCATATGGAAAAGTGACAGCTTACCATCTCTCTGATAACTCCTCTGTTTCGAACCTCATCTTAAATTGCATCCGGACAGACAAGTTGTGAGTAAAAGCCTTGACATACTTGTGGTAGGCAACGAACTTTACTCTGCATAGAGAAAACAAGTGAGTTGTCTGTTCAGTCGAGTTTAATCATGCTGCTAGCAAATAAAGGATTTAATCACTCAATCTCCTGAACAGGAAATTGAGTGATTAAATCCTTTATTTACTAGTTGTAGGAAAGTTAGGTTCTGTTTTTTGAGGCTCGATTCTCTAGAGTGAGCAATTACCACACCTTTTGCAAAGTCATTACCAGATCTATGAGTTGGTAGAAGTTGAGAGGGATGAATTATGCGACTTCCATGGATCCAAATGTTGTGAATGCATAAAAGCAATGTCTTCTTCCTTATTTGCCTTCTCAGAGCTATAGGAGGGTGGAAATTGTTGTGTGTGAATGAGGGTGCTAGCACACACTCCAATGTAAGAAAGAAGAGAAAAGTAGCTTATCCATGTTGAAAGCCTATATTGATCTCCAATGTATAGAGTTATATATCTTAACATTACACCCACACACAAACTCACTTTCAAACCACTACTTTATCCATGTAACATCTTGCTCCTCATAAAATCACAACTTGTTCTATCATAAATATCATTCTTCTTTATATCATTTTGAAAATTAACTAATCTATAATGAATGCGCATTACACTTTTGAAATATGTTTAGGACCAGTATTGTTGCTTTCATAAGAAAGAACTTTTGGCATTTCTTGTTACACACAGTCTTAAATAGTAACAATTATTACTGATATATATATATATATATATATATATATATATATATATATATATATATATATATATATATATATTCTTAGATTAATTATTGCAAGAACTTATTTTAAATCTTATTAAGTAAAATTAAGCACTTGAATTTAAAAATCCCATGAAATCATCCAACTCAATATTATTTAAACTCAAAAACACTTAAAACCAAATATCACATGACCCTTAATCAATTGTATTGGCCCTTTCTCTCTATAACTCTAATAAATTGTCTCTCAATAATGCTTCTTTACAAGTTCATGCCCCTATAAACATAAATTAAAAGCCATACATGT